GTCAGGGTGAGTCAGAGTGAGTCAGAGTGTGTCAGGGTGAGTCAGAGTGAGTCAGAGTGAGTCAGGGTGAGTCAGGGTGAGTCAGGGTGAGTCAGAGTGAGTCAGGGTGAGTCAGAGTGTGTCAGGGTGAGTCAGGGTGAGTCAGAGTGAGTCAGAGTGTGTCAGGGTGAGTCAGGGTGAGTCAGGGTGAGTCAGAGTGAGTCAGGGTGAGTCAGAGTGAGTCAGAGTGAGTCAGAGGTGTCAGGGTGAGACAGGGTGAGACAGGGTGAGTCAGGGTGAGTCAGGGTGAGTCAGTGTGAGTCAGGGTGAGTCAGGGTGAGTCAGGGTGAGTCAGAGTGAGTCAGAGTGAGTCAGAGTGAGTCAGGGTGAGTCAGGGTGAGTCAGAGTGAGTCAGGGTGAGTCAGAGTGAGTCAGGGTGAGTCAGGGTGAGTCAGTGTGAGTCAGTGTGAGTCAGGGTGAGTCAGGGTGAGTCAGTGTGAGTCAGAGTGAGTCAGAGTGAGTCAGGGTGAGTCAGAGTGAGTCAGGGTGAGTCAGGGTGAGTCAGGGTGAGTCAGAGTGAGATAGAGTGAGTCAGGGTGAGTCAGGGTGAGTCAGGGTGAGTCAGAGTGAGTCAGGGTGAGTCAGGGTGAGACAGAGTGAGTCAGAGTGAGTCAGAGTGAGTCAGGGTGAGTCAGAGTGAGTCAGAGTGTGTCAGGGTGAGTCAGAGTGAGATAGAGTGAGTCAGAGTGAGACAGAGTGAGTCAGAGTGAGTCAGGGTGAGTCAGGGTGAGTCAGGGTGAGTCAGAGTGAGTCAAAGTGAGTCAAAGTGAGTCAGGGTGAGTCAGGGTGAGTCAGAGTGAGTCAGAGTGAGTCAGGGTGAGTCAGGGTGAGTCAGGGTGAGTCAGAGTGAGTCAGTGTGAGTCAGAGTGAGTCAGAGTGAGTCAAAGTGAGTCAGAGTGAGTCAGGGTGAGTCAGAGTGAGTCAGGGTGAGTCAGAGTGAGTCAGGGTGAGTCAGGGTGAGTCAGGGTGAGTCAGAGTGAGATAGAGTGAGTCAGGGTGAGTCAGGGTGAGTCAGAGTGAGTCAGGGTGAGTCAGGGTGAGACAGAGTGAGTCAGAGTGAGTCAGAGTGAGTCAGAGTGAGTCAGAGTGAGTCAAAGTGAGTCAGGGTGAGTCAGGGTGAGTCAGGGGGGTCAGAGTGAGTCAAAGTGAGTCAAAGTGAGTCAGAGTGAGTCAGGGTGAGTCAGGGTGAGTCAGAGTGAGTCAGAGTGAGTCAGGGTGAGTCAGAGTGAGTCAGAGTGAGTCAGGGTGAGTCAGGGTGAGTCAGAGTGAGTCAGGGTGAGTCAGAGTGAGTCAGAGTGAGTCAAAGTGAGTCAGGGTGAGTCAGGGTGAGTCAGAGTGAGTCAGGGTGAGTCAGGGTGAGTCAGAGTGAGTCAGGGTGAGTCAGGGTGAGTCAGGGTGAGTCAGATAGTGAGTCAGAGTGAGTCAGAGTGAGTCAGGGTGAGTCAGGGTGAGTCAGGGTGAGTCAGGGTGAGTCAGGGTGAGTCAGGGTGAGTCAGGGTGAGTCAGGGTGAGTCAGTGTGAGTCAGAGTGAGTCAGGGTGAGTCAGGGTGAGTCAGGGTGAGTCAGGGTGAGTCAGAGTGAGTCAGAGTGAGTCAGAGTGAGACAGAGTGAGTCAGAGTGAGTCAGGGTGAGTCAGGGTGAGTCAGAGTGAGTCAAAGTGAGTCAAAGTGAGTCAGGGTGAGTCAGGGTGAGTCAGGGTGAGTCAGAGTGAGATAGGGTGAGTCAGGGTGAGTCAGGGTGAGTCAGAGTGAGTCAGGGTGAGTCAGGGTGAGACAGAGTGAGTCAGAGTGAGTCAGAGTGAGTCAGTGTGAGTCAGGGTGAGTCAGAGTGAGTCAGAGTGAGTCAGAGTGAGTCAAAGTGAGTCAGGGTGAGTCAGGGTGAGTCAGGGTGAGTCAGGGGGAGTCAGAGTGAGTCAAAGTGAGTCAAAGTGAGTCAGGGTGAGTCAGGGTGAGTCAGGGTGAGTCACTGTGAGTCAGGGTGAGTCAGGGTGAGTCAGGGTGAGCCAGGGTGAGTCAGGGTGAGTCAGAGTGAGTCAGAGTGAGTCAGGGTGAGTCAGAGTGAGTCAGAGTGAGTCAGGGTGAGTCAGGGTGAGTCAGGGTGAGTCAGGGTGAGTCAGGGTGAGTCAGAGTGAGTCAGAGTGAGTCAAAGTGAGTCAGGGTGAGTCAGGGTGAGTCAGAGTGAGTCAGGGTGAGTCAGAGTGAGTCAGAGTGAGTCAGGGTGAGTCAGAGTGAGTCAGGGTGAGTCAGGGTGAGTCAGGGTGATTCAGGGTGAGTCAGGGTGAGTCAGAGTGAGATAGAGTGAGTCAGGGTGAGTCAGGGTGAGTCAGGGTGAGTTAGGGTGAGTCAGGGTGAGTCAGAGTGAGATAGAGTGAGTCAGAGTGAGAGAGAGTGAGTCAGAGTGAGTCAGAGTGAGTCAGTGTGAGTCAGGGTGAGTCAGAGTGAGTCAAAGTGAGTCAGGGTGAGTCAGGGTGAGTCAAAGTGAGTCAGGGTGAGTCAAAGTGAGTCAGGGTGAGTCAGAGTGAGTCAGGGTGAGTCAGAGTGAGTCAGAGTGAGTCAGGGTGAGTCAGGGTGAGTCAGAGTGAGTCAGAGAGGCTCGTCCTGGTCTCAACAGAGGCTCTGAGGTCATGCTAAATAGTCGTTATAAGATTAAGACGTTGCTTCTAAACTAAAGCGGCAGAAAAGAGCTGGATACAAACCGCTGTAAAATATTGATTATAGGAATATTCTTCATGAAAACATCTGCGTTTGTCCCTGATTTTGGAAGAATTTAGCTTAAGATCCAGCTGCAACTCGAGACAGACACACACACGTACAAACACACACACATACACTCACCCACACACACACACACACACGTAAAAACACACACACATACACGCACACACACACACACACAGACACACACATACACACAGACACACACATATACACACACACACACACATACACACACACACATTCACCGACACACACACAGACACATACATACACACACAGACACAGACACACACACACACAGACACACACACACACAAAAACACATACACACACATACAGACAGACACACACACTACAGACGTGGGACACACAGGGACTGACAGGACTCATCTGGAACTTCCTGGTGCATATTCTTCATGCAAACCATGCAAAGAAAATGATAATGTTTCGTACATATAAAAATAAGTGATATAAAATGGCATAGTGGAGTCTCACAGGGTCCTGGACCCGCAGTCTCACAGGGTCCTGGACCCTCAGTCTCACAGGGTCCTGAACCCTCAGTCTAGTCTAGAGAATGGCATGCGTCACATGCAGTGCGTAGGCTTTGTCGCGGTAAAGCTTTGGGTGGATATAAGTTTGTAAAGAAGCACTTGTGTCCACGGCAGGAGGGGCTCCTTTGGCAGATGTGGCTTTAGTCCGGTGTCCGTTACACAATTTGCTCTCAGATGTGGACCAAGGAAAAGGTCAGAACCGGCTTCTCCAGCTAACTGGCACTCAATCCTATGTTTTGTGGTGTTTTCTCCAACTGTCACATGTTGAAGCCTTCTGCCTCCTCCAGACATGTCTCTGTACATGTCTGTACAGAGACACGTGTGTACACTGCAAAACATGATGAAATATGAAGTAATAATTGTTTGTTGTTGTTTTTATCAACTACAAAAAGAACTTGTCCAAATTTGCCAAAAGGAATTAGAGAAGTTTTTGACTGTCTTAAAATTTGCCTATGAAACAAGAAAAAACTCTTTATTTGCGCTGGAAATTTGACTAAAGCTGTTGTTCCGTTGTTTTAAGAATGTTTTCAAATCCAGATCAATTATGAAGACTGAATCTCTGAAGTCACATCTACAGGACAGTGACCAGGGACGAGGGGGCCTACCAGCTGCGTCAGCTCTGAGACACTGGTCTGAGGCAGAAGGCGTCTGAAACCTTGTTTCTGAGAAACCACCACAAACCAAGATATGTATTGGACCCCAGGTTTTGGACAACACCACTACAGCCCGAGAGAGGCCCTCAGGAGAGAGGCCCTCAGGAGAAAGGCCCTCAGGAGAGAGGCCCCCGGGAGAAAATAATTTCAAAAGCCAGCTACATCAGAGCATTTGCACAGGTGTGCTGTGAGGCTGAGACTGGGACCACCTTCTGGGGTTCGTCCTCGCTATGAGACCCTCTCTAACTCATGTGTAGAGTGACCTGGTATTAGATTGTGTGTCTGTGGTCCCCATAAGGTCCTACCACCACATGTCCCGGCAGTGTCACAGCACACCTTCACCCCCACAAAGCTCCCTCAGGGCCTCTCTCAGGAAAGTGCAAAGAACCGTGGAGCTTCCCCAGCGCCGTGTGAGCAAAGCGCCGTGTGGGCAAAGCGCTGTGTGAGAAAATGTGCCGTAATGTACAAAGTTCAGCGTCCAGCGACTGTACAGAAGGGAGCGTGTCTCTGGAGCTGGTTCAGGCTCGGACTTCAAGGGGTCTCTGCCCGAACTGTGCCCACACTCGGGCACCATTTGGGGCTGAGAGTGTTCCCCCATTGAAAAAACTGACCCAGAATGAGTATTTGAATGAAGCAGTATTTATCGGATTTGAGTGCATTTCGACTGTCTTAAAGTCTTAACTCTGTATGTGCTGAACAATGTGACTTTATAAAACTGTGACATAGGTTCTTCAGGGTAAAGAGGTGAAAAACGGACTCAGTATCAGAAGTCATTCTGCTTGATCTGGATCTAATATCTTTAACTGAAGGCACGCAGTTGAAGAACAGAGGGTATTGTGATGTCACGTCTGACAAATGAGTTGGTAACTGCGTGTGACAACTATTAAACACACAAGCTCTGCTTGTCGACTATCTCTGGTTTGTGCTTCTTGGTCTTTGGTCTTGCAGCTTTAAGACAGTCTAAATGCAGATCAAATATGACAAAGACCACTTACTTTAAGCACTTCATCTCGTATCTGTGTGTTTTTTAGTGCAGCAAATCACGGCGGCGTGACCCAGACTTCTCCGAACCCCTCTAAGGTGGACGACATCGCCAGAGGCCCAGCGCTGGGGCTGAAGGGGTCCGTGTCTGTGTCCGTCTCTCCTTCTGCCAGATAACTGGGTCTGGGTCTGGTCCTGCCCCCTCCCTGCTCCTCAGAACCCTCGCGCTCGGCCGACACGCTGAAGCCGCTGGGAGACCGCTCCAGCTCGTCGTGAGTCACTGAGAGCAGAGACAGCGGAGACTCGTTCCCCCGTGCCCCCTCCCCTGAGGTCCTTCCGTGCAGCGAGCTGATGGGCAGCACAGTGGGCCTCTCCACGTAGGTCGGCACCTGGATGCAGTGCTCACGACTGCTCCTGGTCTCTTTGCCGTGGTCCTCCTTCTCCGCACGATAGGCCGCTACTCCTGCAGCTTCCTGATAGGCCGCTTCACCGGCAGCTTTCTGATAGGCCGCTTCACCGGCAGCTTCCTGATAGGCTGCATGATGAGGGTAAGACACGGCGTAGTTAAAAAAGAGGCGGCGGATGTCCCCGCCCCCTGCCAGCGTCATGTGGGCGGTGCCAGAGGAGTCCACCTGCAGCTGTTCTGAGTGCTGGATGTGCATGTCCACCAGGAAGTCAAGCTTCTTCTCCATGTCCTCCACCTGCAACAGCACCACCATGAGGTCAAACAGCGTCTGTGTCTGACCCTGAAACATTTGAACAATGCACAACAGCTTGAGTCCAGAGCTTTGTTGTTTCTCATTTGTGTTTATCCTCTTTGTGCAGTCTGACCACTGTAAACTTCTATGACATTTATGGTCTGTTCAACTTCCTGGTTAGGGTTAGTAACACATCTCAATGGCTTGATCTCGCGAGCTGGATTCAAATAAGTCAACAATATGAAAAACAATGAAAATCTGTCTTTTATCCACAGACCACGAACGTTTGAGGCCGTCATCAGACATCAAAGACACACCTTGCTACATCATGGTCATTTGACCAATAATAACCTGTTATTCTAGCGGCCATGGTTGCTGAGTATTTAGCATTGTCAGTGAGACAGTCCTGGGTGTGATCTTGTTTCCCTAAGATTACATGCCTACAACTATAAGTGTCGACTTTGTGCAATAATGCTGCCATCTGGTGACAACAGATTCTTTCTGTGGGAACCATCACAGACAAAAAACTAAACCAGTGAGAGTGTCACCTCTGCTGCACGATGGTCCCCCCCTACAGAAGGTGGCTCCAGAGCGTGTGAAGATCTGGACCTTTTTATAACATAACCCACCTGTCGTTCCACTCGCACAAATCTGCCCATCATGCTTTGGTCATCAGACTCCTGCAGAGAGGACGCTTTGGGCAGAAAGGTCTCGAGCCTGGAACACACCAACCATGATACATTTATACACATGCTACACTTTATACACATGCTACGTCATGACCATCAGACGTCATGACCATCAGACGTCCTAACCATCAGACGTCATTACCATCAGACGTCCTGACTATCTGACGTCATGACCATCAGACGTCATTACCATCAGACGTCCTGACCATCAGACGTCATGCCCATCAGACGTCCTGACTATCTGACGTCATTACCATCAGACGTCATGGCCATCTGACGTCATGACCATCAGACGTCATGCCCATCAGACGTCCTGACCATCAGACGTCATTACCATGAGACGTCCTGACCATCAGACGTCATGCCCATCAGACGTCCTGACTATCTGACGTCATGACCATCAGACGTCATGCCCATCAGACGTCATGACCATCAGACGTCATGCCCATCAGACGTCCTGACTATCTGACGTCATTACCATCAGACGTCATGACCATCTGACGTCATGACCATCTGACGTCAAGACCATCAAACGTCATTACCATCTGACGTCATTACCATCTGACGTCATTACCATCAGACGTCATTACCATCAGACGTCATTACCATCAGACGTCAAGACCATCAAACGTCATTACCATCTGACGTCATTACCATCAGACGTCATTACCATCTGACGTCATTACCATCAGACGTCATGACCATCTGACGTCATGACCATCAGACGTCATGACCATCAGACGTCATGACTATCTGACGTCATGACCATCAGACGTCATTACCATCTGACGTCATTTCCATCAGACGTCATGACCATCTGACGTCATTACCATCAGACGTCATGACCATCTGACGTCATGACCATCAGACGTCATTACCATCTGACGTCATTTCCATCAGACGTCATGACCATCTGACGTCATGACCATCAGACGTCATGACCATCAGACGTCATGACCATCAGACGTCATGACTATCTGACGTCATGACCATCAGACGTCATTACCATCTGACGTCATTTCCATCAGACGTCATGACCATCTGACGTCATGACCATCAGACGTCATGACCATCAGACGTCATGACCATCAGACGTCATGACTATCTGACGTCATGACCATCAGACGTCATTACCATCTGACGTCATTTCCATCAGACGTCATGACCATCTGACGTCATGACCATCAGACGTCATGACCATCAGACGTCATGACCATCAGACGTCATGACCATCAGACATCATTTCCATCAGACGTCATTACCATCAGACATCATGACCCATCAGACGTCTTGACCATCAGACGTCATGACCCATCAGACGTCTTGACCATCAGACGTCATTACCATCAGACGTCTTGACCATCAGACGTCATGACCATCAGACGTCATGACCCATCAGACGTCTTGACCATCAGACGTCATTACCATCAGACGTCTTGACCATCAGACGTCATGACCCATCAGACGTCTTGACCATCAGACGTCATGACCCATCAGACGTCTTGACCATCAGACGTCATGACCCATCAGACGTCATTACCATCAGACGTCATTACCATCAGACGTCATTACCATCAGACGTCTTGACCATCAGACGTCATGACCCATCAGACGTCATGACCCATCAGACGTCTTGACCATCAGACGTCATTACCATCAGACGTCATGACCATCAGACGTCATGACCATCTGACGTCAAGACCATCAAACGTCCTGACCATCTGACGTCATTACCATCAGACGTCAAGACCATCAAACGTCCTGACCATCTGACGTCATTACCATCAGACGTCAAGACCATCAAACGTCCTGACCATCTGACGTCATTACCATCAGACGTCATGACCATCAGACGTCATTACCGTACATTAGGTACAGTATTGATACAGTAGATACAGTAGGTGCAGTAGGTACAGTAGGTGCAGTAGGTACAGTTGGTGCAGTAGGTACTGTAAGTACAGTAGGCGCAGTAGGTACAGTAGATACAGTAGGTGCAGTAGGTACAGTAGGTACAGTTGGTGCAGTAGGTACAGTAGATACTGTAAGTACAGTAGGTGCAGTAGGTACAGTAGATACAGTAGGTACAGTAGATACTGTAGGTAGAGTAGGTGCAGTAGGTACAATATATACTATAGGTACAGAAGATACCGTAGGTACAGTCGGTGCAGTAGGTACATTAGATACTGTAGGTACAGTAGGTACAATATATACTGTAGGTACAGTAGATACTGTAGGTTCAGTAGGTGCAGTAGGTACATTAGATACTGTAGGTACAGTAGGTACAATATATACTGTAGGCACAGTAGATACTGTAGGTACAGTAGGTACAATATATACTGTAGGTACAGTAGATACCGTAGGTACAGTCGGTGCAGTAGGTACATTAGATACTGTAGGTACAGTAGGTACAATATATACTGTAGGTACAGTAGATACTGTAGGTACAGTAGGTGCAGTAGGTACATTAGATACTGTAGGTACAGTAGGTACAATATATACTGTAGGCACAGTAGATACTGTAGGTACAGTAGGTACAATATATACTGTAGGTACAGTAGATACCGTAGGTACAGTCGATGCAGTAGGTACATTAGATACTGTAGGTACAGTAGGTACAATATATACTGTAGGTACAGTAGATACTGTAGGTACAGTAGGTGCAGTAGGTACATTAGATACTGTAGGTACAGTAGGTACAATATATACTGTAGGCACAGTAGATACTGTAGGTACAGTAGGTACAATATATACTGTAGGTACAGTAGATACCGTAGGTACAGTAGGTGCAGTAGGTGCAGTAGGTTCATTAGATACTGTAGGTACAGTAGGTACAATATATACTGTAGGTACAGTAGATACCGTAGGTGCAGTAGGTACAGTAGATACCGTAGGTGCAGTAGGTACATTAGATACTGTAGGTACAGTAGGTACAATATATACTGTAGGTACAGTAGATACCGTAGGTACAGTTGGTGCAGTAGGCACACATAGGTACCCACCTGGGAGACTGGTTTCCTGCGTAGGTAAATGGTGGTTTCTGAGTCTTCTTCTTGGGGGTGGAGGGAGGTCCAGGCGCCAGAATCATGTCAATCCTGAGAACAACACATTCATTTGTAACACAATAAGAGAAACCTCTCCATTCAATCTTCTGTCCTCACATGGTTCTCTGGTCCCTCCTGGTTTTTCCAAATAGTTCTTTGGTCTCTCACCTGGAGTCTCCACATAGTTCTCTGGTTTCTCCTGGAGTCTCCACATAGTTCTCTGGTTTCTCCTGGAGTCTCCACATAGTTCTCTGCTCTCTGGTGTCTCTACATGGTCTCTCACCTGGTGTCTCCACATGTTCTCTGACCTGGTGTCTCCACATAGTCTCTCACCTGGTGTCTCCACATGTTCTCGGACCTGGTGTCTCCTCATGGTCTCTCCCCTGGTGTCTCCACATGGTCTCTCACCTGGTGTCTCCACATGGTCTCTCACCTGGTCTGGAGGTACTTGATGCGACACAGCATGTCCAGGTGTCCGGCTGAGTACTGCTCAATCACGTCCTTGACGTCGTACGGTCTCAGAGTTTCCTTAAAGCGCTTCTTATTCAGAAGAAACTGCATAATCCTGAAACAAACATTAAAGCTGAGGTCCCTAAATATCCAAGTACAAATGTATATGATGCTGTCACAAGCCTTCACCAATGTGTTTTGGCCTCTGTCATTTTGTCATGTATTACTTTCTAATATGAACAAACAGAACACGCTGGTCATGAAAAAAACAAAGAAACTCGAAAAGCACAAGCGGCTCCTGAAGGTGATGTCACACACAGGAAGTGGTCAGGGATGTGACATCACTCAGAGGAACAGCACTGGTTTAAATCCCATTTATTGGATCGGTGTCACTTTGTCAACGTGAATAAAAACTTGTCGCCTCATTCTAAACTAACATGGCGACCCCGCTCCTATCTCTGTGGAGTGGGAGACAAATGTATCTGAACTTTGTGAAGCACTTTGGGTGAACTTAGTCTGTAACATGTGCCATATAAATAAACGTTACTTACTTAAAGACCTCAGACCCTCAGACCTCAGACCCTCAGACCCTCAGACCCTCAGACCTCAGACCGTCAGACCTCAGACCCTCAGACCTCAGACCTCAGACCCTCAGACCTCAGATCGTCAGACCTCAGACCCTCAGACCTCAGACCCCCTCAGACCCTCAGACCCTCAGACCTCAGACCCTCAGACCCTCAGACCCTCAGACCTCAGACCCTCAGACCTCAGACCTCAGACCCTCAGACCTCAGACCCTCAGACCCTCAGACCCTCAGACCCTCAGACCTCAGACCGTCAGACCTCAGACCTCAGACCTCAGACCTCAGACCCTCAGACCTCAGACCCTCAGACCTCAGACCCTCAGACCTCAGACCCTCAGACCCTCAGACCTCAGACCCTCAGACCCTCAGACCCTCAGACCCTCAGACCTCAGACCGTCAGACCTCAGACCCTCAGACCTCAGACCTCAGACCCTCAGACCCTCAGACCCTCAGACCCTCAGACCCTCAGACCTCAGACCCTCAGACCTCAGACCTCAGATCGTCAGACCTCAGACCCTCAGACCTCAGACCCTCAGACCTCAGACCTCAGACCTCAGATCGTCAGACCTCAGACCCTCAGACCTCAGACCCTCAGACCCTCAGAACCTCAGACCCTCAGACCTCAGACCCTCAGACCCTCAGACCCTCAGACCTCAGACCCTCAGATCGTCAGACCTCAGACCCTCAGACCTCAGACCCTCAGACCCTCAGACCTCAGACCCTCAGATCGTCAGACCTCAGACCCTCAGACCTCAGACCCTCAGACCCTCAGAACTCAGACCCTCAGACCTCAGACCCTCAGACCCTCAGACCTCAGACCTCAGATCGTCAGACCTCAGACCCTCAGACCCTCAGACCCTCAGACCTCAGACCCTCAGACCTCAGACCTCAGATCGTCAGACCCTCAGACCTCAGACCTCAGACCCTCAGACCTCAGACCTCAGACCTCAGATCGTCAGACCTCAGACCCTCAGATCGTCAGACCTCAGACCCTCAGACCTCAGACCCTCAGACCCTCAGAACTCAGACCCTCAGACCTCAGACCCTCAGACCCTCAGAACTCAGACTGACCTCACGGCCCGGATCACCAGCTTCAGAGCAGGGATGGTCTCCTCCATCAGGATGTCGGGGGGAAAGCCTCTCTCCTCGAGGGACAGGTCTGTGAGGACCACAGCATCTGGACACAAACAGAAGAGTACTTCAGAGAACAGAATTATGAAGGCAACATTGTAGTTTAGACTTGCACTTAAAGCTATAAAACTCTGGGGACTGTTTCTGCTGAATAAAGCAGTCCCAGACAGACCGTCTCCACGTCCAGAGGAACCAGTCGAGGTGACTCGAGCATCTGTTTGGGAGACCTCCAGGGCCTCTGTGAGGAGACTGTAAGGATTAGATAGCTGTTTGGCCTACGTGCAGGACAAGCACAAGACTCTACAAGGACTCTGATGGTCCATCCATGTTATGACTATGATGTGCTGTGCTCTGTCTCTGTGTGACACGTATGTCTTTCGATGTGTCACGTGACAATGACTATAGAAACTGTGTACTGCCTTTATTCTGTCTGAGAGACAGAAACATCAGAAACCACTGGAACTTCAGAGAAACCAAAATAAACTTCCAGAGTTTGGCGCACCACGATCCGTCTCTGTCTGCTTCATTCCTGACAAGACCTCCAAGGGCCTCTCTGACGAGACCTCCAGGGGCCTCTCTCTTAAAAGACCTCAAGGGGACTTTCTGAGGAGACCTCCAGGGGCGTCGGAGCTCTAACCTCAGAGTCCTTACCCTCAGAGCTCTAACCTCAGAGTCCTTACCCTCAGAGCTCTAACCTCAGAGTTCTTACCCTCAGAGCTCTAACCTCAGAGTCCTTACCCTCAGAGCTCTAACCTCAGAGTTCTTTCCCTCAGAGCTCTAACCTCAGAGTTCTTTCCCTCAGAGCTCTAACCTCAGAGTCCTTACCCTCAGAGCTCTAACCTCAGAGTTCTTTCCCTCAGAGCTCTAACCTCAGAGTCCTTACCCTCAGAGCTCTAACCTCAGAGTTCTTACCCTCAGAGCTCTAACCTCAGAGTTCTTTCCCTCAGAGCTCTAACCTCAGAGTTCTTACCCTCAGAGCTCTAACCTCAGAGTTCTTACCCTCAGAGCTCTAACCTCAGAGTTCTTTCCCTCAGAGCTCTAACCTCAGAGTTCTTTCCCTCAGAGCTCTAACCTCAGAGTTCTTTCCCTCAGAGCTCTAACCTCAGAGTTCTTACCCTCAGAGCTCTAACCTCAGAGTTCTTTCCCTCAGAGCTCTAACCTCAGAGTTCTTTCCCTCAGAGCTCTAACCTCAGAGTCCTTACCCTCAGAGCTCTAACCTCAGAGTCCTTACCCTCATAGCTCTAACCTCAGAGTCCTTACCCTCAGAGCTCTGCCTCAGAGTTCTTTCCCTCAGAGCTCTAACCTCAAAGTCCTTACCCTCAGAGCTCTAACCTCAGAGTCCTTACCCTCAGAGCTCTAACCTCAGAGTCCTTACCCTCAGAGCTCTAACCTCAGAGTCCTTACCCTCAGAGCTCTGCCTCAGAGTTCTTTCCCTCAGAGCTCTAACCTCAGAGTCCTTACCCTCAGAGCTCTAACCTCAGAGTTCTTACCCTCAGAGCTCTAACCTCAGAGTTCTTTCCCTCAGAGCTCTAACCTCAGAGTTCTTTCCCTCAGAGCTCTAACCTCAGAGTCCTTACCCTCAGAGCTCTAACCTCAGAGTCCTTACCCTCAGAGCTCTGCCTCAGAGTTCTTTCCCTCAGAGCTCTAACCTCAAAGTCCTTACCCTCAGAGCTCTAACCTCAGAGTCCTTACCCTCAGAGCTCTAACCTCAGAGTCCTTACCCTCAGAGCTCTAACCTCAGAGTCCTTACCCTCAGAGCTCTAACCTCAGAGTCCTTACCCTCAGAGCTCTGCCTCAGAGTTCTTTCCCTCAGAGCTCTAACCTCAGAGTCCTTACCCTCAGAGCTCTAACCTCAGAGCTCTAACCTCAGAGTCCTTACCCTCAGAGCTCTAACCTCAGAGTTCTTTCCCTCAGAGCTCTAACCTCAGAGTCCTTACCCTCAGAGCTCTAACCTCAGAGTCCTTACCCTCAGAGCTCTAACCTCAGAGTCCTTACCCTCAGAGCTCTAACCTCAGAGTTCTTTCCCTCAGAGCTCTAACCTCAGAGTCCTTACCCTCAGAGCTCTAACCTCAGAGTCCTTACCCTCAGAGCTCTAACCTCAGAGTTCTTTCCCTCAGAGCTCTAACCTCAGAGTCCTTACCCTCAGAGCTCTAACCTCAGAGTCCTTACCCTCAGAGCTCTAACCTCAGAGTTCTTTCCCTCAGAGCTCTAACCTCAGAGTCCTTACCCTCAGAGCTCTAACCTCAGAGTCCTTACCCTCAGAGCTCTAACCTCAGAGTTCTTTCCCTCAGAGCTCTAACCTCAGAGTCCTTACCCTCAGAGCTCTAACCTCAGAGTTCTTTCCCTCAGAGCTCTAACCTCAGAGTCCTTACCCTCAGAGCTCTAACCTCAGAGTTCTTACCCTCAGAGCTCTAACCTCAGAGTCCTTACCCTCAGAGCTCTAACCTCAGAGTCCTTACCCTCAGAGCTCTAACCTCAGAGCTCTAACCTCAGAGTCCTTACCCTCAGAGCTCTAACCTCAGAGTTCTTTCCCTCAGAGCTCTAACCTCAGAGCTCTAACCTCAGAGTCCTTACCCTCAGAGCTCTAACCTCAGAGTCCTTACCCTCAGAGCTCTAACCTCAGAGTTCTTTCCCTCAGAGCTCTAACCTCAGAGTCCTTACCCTCAGAGCTCTAACCTCAGAGTCCTTACCCTCAGAGCTCTAACCTCAGAGTTCTTTCCCTCAGAGCTCTAACCTCAGAGTCCTTACCCTCAGAGCTCTAACCTCAGAGTTCTTTCCCTCAGAGCTCTAACCTCAGAGTTCTTACCCTCAGAGCTCTAACCTCAGAGTCCTTACCCTCAGAGCTCTAACCTCAGAGTCCTTACCCTCAGAGCTCTAACCTCAGAGTCCTTACCCTCAGAGCTCTGCCTCAGGGTGTAGTTCTTCATGCGGAAGGCGGTTCTGAAGCGTTCTCTGTTGCTGAAGCCTCGAGGTTCTTTAGACGGACTGTCCCCAGTGTCCTCTGTCCTCCTACCCCCCCCCACTGAGGGACGAGAGCTGGGGAGTCTCACCCGCTCCAGCAAGCTCATCTTCTGACTGTAACACACACAGACACACACAGAGACACACACACACACAGTCTGATTTCCTGAACTGTTGCTTTATTTCCTCATTCAGAGATATTTCTGTATCTTTTTAAAACAAGATCTTTTTTTTTTGGTCCCATTGGAGAATCTGGTTTAAAGGCAATAATCTTGTTCAAAATGTGCTAATATGAAGACTTTGCCACACACAGGTCTAGGGTTAGGGTTAGGGTTAGCAGGACAGAGACAAACTACGGTCTGTGGTCCATCCCTGCTCAATATTAACATTTGATCTTTTTTATTACACTGATTATCTTGTGCTGCTTCTCAGTCTACTTCCTGACCCTAACCCTAAACACACACTGCTGTTATATAAAGTCACCTCCGTGAACACATACTGCTGTTATATAAAGTCACCGTGAACACATACTGCTGTTATATAAAGTCACCTCCGTGAACACATACTGCTGTTATATAAAGTCACCTCCGTGAACACATACTGCTGTTATATAAAGTCACCTCCGTGAACACATACTGCTGTTATATAAAGTCACCTCCGTGAACACATACTGCTGTTATATAAAGTCACCTCCGTGAACACATACTGCTGTTATATAAAGTCACCTCCGTGAACACATACTGCTGTTATATAAAGTCACCTCCGTGAACACATACTGCTGTTATATAAAGTCACCTCCGTGAACACATACTGCTGTTATATAAAGTCACCTCCGTGAACACATACTGCTGTTATATAAAGTCACCTCCGTGAACACATACTGCTGTTATATAAAGTCACCTCCGTGAACACATACTGCTGTTATATAAAGTCACCTCCGTGAACACATACTGCTGTTATATAAAGTCACCTCCGTGAACACATACTGCTGTTATATAAAGTCACCTCCGTGAACACATACTGCTGTTATATAAAGTCACCTCCGTGAACACATACTGCTGTTATATAAAGTCACCTCCGTGAACACATACTGCTGTTATATAAAGTCACCGTGAACACATACTGCTGTTATATAAAGTCTGTGAAGGTCTCAGACACAGAGACGCTGCAGCTGCATTATTGGAGATGAACTTTTACAAAAAGCCGCTAGCTTAACTCTGTTAGCATCAGAGCACTTCCGGCGGGCGCCACTGCAGCAGGACGTTCTGGTCTGAAGACCCCTACGTCTGAAAACTAGAGGATGTGCGTCTGGTGAGCATGGAAGCTGCGCTCCAGCGTGGGCGGTCTGAATGCGCCATAACTCTAACCCTGACTCTGACTCTAACTAACTCTAACCCTGACTCTAACTAACTCTAACCCTGACTCTAACTACCTCTAACCCTGACTCTGACTCTAACTAACTCTAACCCTGACCAATAAACGATCTCTTCATCGTCATCTTCATTCATTTTTAACCTTGAAATAATCTCGATCCTAAACTGGAGCAACACAGAGTTTGCATCAGTTAGAAGTGGGTTTTATTTGTGTTAAATAAAACGTACAAATGTCTTTAATTAAAAAAAAGGATTATTTCAGAACTCCATTCATTTGGGAGTCCTAGTGTTGAGAACAAACAGAACAAAGATGATAGAGAACTTTGGCCTCAGGATTCAGTGGATAGATGACTTAAAAATGCATAACTTTGCGAAGATACTTCACACTGTGACCTTCTCCTCCAGAGCCTCCAGAGTCGGGGGCATTTGTGGTCCGAGCCCAGGCCTCACGGGGCCCAGAGGGACCACAGGGTTCACAGGGACCATGTGTGGGTCTTGGAGAGAGAAACCGGAGCCGCTGAGACAGGCCTGGTTCTCAGCCACTTTTCTCCCACACTCGCACAATATGAGCCTGTCTCCTGAAAGACCGCGGCACAATACACACGCCATTATCCCAGACACAAAACGCACAAAACTCACACGAGTCAAATATGAACCAGAGTTTATCTCCTGCTGCAGAGGGACTTATGTAAGAGGCTTTCCTCTGCACCGACACTGATGCAACCACACACTTATGTAACACACTAGGCGTCAACAAACACAATAATCCTGAAAATTAGCTTCATATTGTAACTTTTAACACTCTAACCCTAACTCTCAAAGTGAGTGTGGGGCTGGTTAGAGTTAGAGCTAACCCTGACTCTGCCCCCTTCATTCATGCAGCATTGTGTGGATGGTGTCTGTTAACCCGAACCCAACACACATTAAAGGATCTCTTATCTTAATTCTGACAAAGCTGTTCTGTCGGTTCCAGTCTCTCCAGATTGAAAAAACTTAATGCTGAAGATAATTAGTATTTAAAAACTTAAAAGCTGAGCCCTGGCCCCACTCCGAGTTTTCTCCACGGTCTGATGTTCTGTTTCGAGTCCTGGGTTTTGATTATTTTTGTTCATTAAATCTTATATTTCTGAGTTCTGCTGCAGGTTCAGAGGAGGACTCTGAACGCCTTTAGTCTCTGGATGTTACACAGAGGACTTTGTCACTCTGTAAAAACCTTTAATCCTCTGTTGGACTCTGACCGCTGCCTGGACACAGGAGAATGTTAATCTGAGGTTTTACTCTGACACTTTCAAGACGGAACATCAAAGCCTCAGGGACAGACCCAGCTCTCGGCTCCAAGGATTTTAGTGGAGGAAACTTTATCCACAGGGGGGTCCAGGATCTGTGGACCGGGGTCCAGTGTCCAGGATCTGTGGACCGGGGTCCAGGGTCCGGGATATGAACTTTGACTTTCACTTTAATATGTCTTAAACCATGGCTCTCCAACCTGCAGCTCCAAAGTAGCTCCCCTCCCTCTTCAAAGTAGCTCCCCTCCCTCTTCAAAGTAGCTCCCAAAGGATGAATTGAGTAAATACTGTCAAAGACTATGTGGACAAGTCCTGATGGTCCAGGACCAGAGGACAGGACCAATGCTCAAAATAGAGCCTCATCTCTGGCCGCAATTAACCAACTTCATAATTAGTTTTTCTGTGAGAAGCAGAGAGAACCAAAGATCTTTGATGGCTCAGCTGCGAACTGGCATCCTTCCCCTGGCCATAGAAACTGGCAGGTTCACTCAAGCTCCTGAAGAGGACAGACTCTGTAGACTGTGTGAGTTAGGAGAGATTGAAAGTGAAACTCATTTTGTGTTATATTGTCCACAGTATGATGATCTTAGAAATGTATTGTTTGGTGAATTGTTTGTTCAAAAGCCTGAAATGTTCTGGATCAGTGATGACGACAAGATGAAATGGTTGTTTACTTCTAATGTGTTTAAATTGGCTTCTTTTGTTTGTAAAGCCTGGTTGAGGCGGCAGACTTGTTTGTTTAAATAAGTTTATGTATTGTATAGTGTGCCTATTGTCTGGCATCTGGTGCTTTTGTTGGTGTTATTGGTGTCTTATAAGCCCATTAGGGCTGGGCATACAGTGTGTATGTAAGACACAATAATAAAAACTATTCATTCATTCATTCATTCATTCATTCATTCATATATATATATATATATATATATATATAGCACCAGAGCACCAGAGCGATAGAGGCCCAGATATACCACACCAGACAAGACCCAAGGTGTCGGTTGTGCAAAGAGGCACCTGAGACGATCCAACACATAACTGCAGGGTGCAAGATGCTGCAGGGAAGGCCTACATGGAACGCCATAACCAAGTGGCTGCATAGTGTACAGAAACATCTGTGCAGAGTATGGGCTGGAAACCCCAAGGTCTAAGTGGGAAACTCCTCCAAAGGTGGTGGAAAATGAGCGTGCAAAGATCCTGTGGGACTTCCAGATACAGACCGACCGAATGGTAATGAACCAACCTGACATCGTGGTGGTGGACAAAGGGCAGAGGACAGCCGTGGTGGTGGACAAAGGACAGAGAACAGCCGTGGTGGTGGACAAAGGGCAGAGGACAGCCGTGGTGGTGGACAAAGGGCAGAGGACAGCCGTGGTGGTGGACAAAGGGCAGAGGACAGCCGTGGTGGTGGACAAAGGGCAGAGGACAGCCGTGGTGGTGGACAAAGGGCAGAGGACAGCCGTGGTGGTGGACAAAGGGCAGAGGAAAGCCGTGGTGGTGGACAAAGAGCAGAGGACAGCCGTGGTGGTGGACAAAGGGCAGAGGACAGCCGTGGTGGTGGACAAAGGGCAGAGGACAGCCGTGGTGGTAGACAAAGGGCAGAGGACAGCCGTGGTGGTGGACAAAGGGCAGAGGACAGCCGTGGTGGTGGACAAAGGGCAGAGGACAGCCGTGGTGGTGGACAAAGGGCAGAGGACAGCCGTGGTGGTGGACAAAGGGCAGAGGACAGCCGTGGTGGTGGACGTGGCAATTCCAAGCGATGGTAACATCCGGAAAAAAGAACATGAAAAGCTTGAGAAACACCAAGGTCTCAGAGAGGAGCTGGAGAGGGCCTGGAGGGTAAAGGTCACAGTAGTGCCCGTGGTGATCGGTGCACTCGGGGCAGTGACCCCGAAGCTAGAAGAGGTTACAGCGGATCCCTGGAACAACCTCGGACATCTGGGTCCAGAAATGTGCAGAGCTAGGAACAGCAAAGATACTGAACCCTCAGGCTCCCAGGCCTCTGGTAGAGGACCCAAGCTTAGAGAGGGATAACCGCCCACGGATAGAGAGGGATAACTGCCCACGGATAGAGAGGGATAACCGCCCACAGATAGAGAGGGATAACTGCCCACAGATAGAGAGGGATAACTGCCCACGGATAGAGAGGGATAACTGCCCACGGATAGAGAGGGATAACCGCCCACGGATAGAGAGGGATAACCGCCCACAGATAGAGAGGGATAACCGCCCACGGATAGAGAGGGATAACCGCCCACGGATAGAGAGGGATAACCGCCCACGGATAGAGAGGGATAACCGCCCACGGATAGAGAGGGATAACCGCCCACGGATAGAGAGGGATAACTGCCCACAGATAGAGAGGGATAACCGCCCACGGATAGAGAGGGATAACTGCCCACAGATAGAGAGGGATAACCGCCCACGGATAGAGAGGGATAACCGCCCACGGATAGAGAGGGATAACTGCCCACGGATAGAGAGGGATAACTGCCCACGGATAGAGAGGGATAACCGCCCACGGATAGAGAGGGATAACCGCCCACAGATAGAGAGGGATAACTGCCCACGGATAGAGAGGGATAACTGCCCACGGATAGAGAGGGATAACCACCCACGGATAGAGAGGGATAACTGCCCACGGATAGAGAGGGATGACCGCCCACGGAGGGCCAAAGGTGAGATTTTTTTATATTTTCTTATAAATAAAAAATGTCCACTCACCTTTGGCCCTCCAAAGGTGAGTGGACAATTCACAATTCATTCAACAACTCCTAAATATATATATCATGTGTATGTATATATTAGGGCTGTCAAAATTATTTATTTAATTAATTATTTTTAAAGCTGTAATTAACTCGATTAAACATTGAAAGCCCTAACATATACATATGTAATATATAAAAACACATACATAACCCTTTGAGCATTTATAAGGTTCACGCACGCACGTGTGCGCACACACACACACACACACACACACACACACACACACATACCTGGCCATGACCTCCGGGTGATCCTTCCTTTAGACACAGCACAGCAGGGGGGAGACAGAGGGAGACAGGGGGAGACAGGGGGAGACAGGGGGAGACAGAGGGAGACAGAGGGAGACAGAGGGAGACAGAGGGAGACGGGGAGACATGGGGGAGACAGGGGTAGACAGGGGTAGACAGGGGGAGACAGGGTGAGACAGGGTGAGACAGGGGGAGACAGAGGGAGACAGGGTGAGACAGGGGGAGACAGAGGGAGACAGAGGTAGACAGGGGGAGACAGGGGGAGACAGAGGGAGACAGAGGTAGACAGGGTGAGACAGGGTGAGACAGGGTGAGACAGGGGGAGACAGGGGGAGACAGGGTGAGACAGAGGTAGACAGGGGGAGACAGGGGGAGACAGAGGTAGACAGGGTGAGACAGAGGTAGACAGAGGGAGACAGAGGGAGACAGGGTGAGACAGAGGGTGAGACAGAGGTAGACAGGGGGAGACAGAGGTAGACAGAGGTAGACAGAGGGAGACAGAGGGAGACAGGGGGAGACAGGGGGAGACAGAGGGAGACAGGGTGAGACAGGGGGAGACAGAGGGAGACAGAGGGAGACAGGGGGAGACAGGGGGAGACAGAGGAAGACAGGGGGAGACAGGGGGAGACAGGGGGAGACAGAGGGAGACAGAGGGAGACAGAGGGAGACAGAGGGAGACAGGGGTAGACAGGGGTAGACAGGGTAAGACAGGGTGAGACAGGGGGAGACAGAGGGAGACAGGGTGAGACAGGGGGAGACAGGGTGAGACAGAGGTAGACAGGGGGAGACAGAGGGAGACAGAGGTAGACAGGGTGAGACAGGGTGAGACAGGGTGAGACAGGGGGAGACAGGGGGAGACAGGGGGAGACAGAGGGAGACAGGGGGAGACAGGGGGAGACAGGGGGAGACAGAGGGAGACAGAGGGAGACAGAGGGAGACAGAGGGAGACAGAGGGAGACAGAGGGAGACAGGGGGAGACAGGGGGAGACAGGGGGAGACAGGGGGAGACAGAGGGAGACAGAGGGAGACAGAGGGAGACAGGGGTAGACAGGGGTAGACAGGGTGAGACAGAGGTAGACAGAGGGAGACAGAGGGATACAGGGTGAGACAGGGTGAGACAGAGGTAGACAGGGGGAGACAGAGGTAGAGAGAGAAAGACAGAGGGAGACAGGGGGAGACAGGGGGAGACAGAGGGAGACATGGTGAGACAGGGGGAGACAGAGGTAGACAGAGGGAGACAGAGGGAGACAGGGGGAGACAGGGGGAGACAGAGGGAGACAGGGGGAGACAGGGGGAGACAGAGGGAGACAGGGGGAGACAGGGGGAGACAGGGGGAGACAGGGGGAGACAGGGGGAGACAGAGGTAGACAGGGTGAGACAGAGGTAGACAGAGGGAGACAGAGGGAGACAGGGTGAGACAGGGTGAGACAGGGTGAGACAGAGGTAGACAGGGGGAGACAGAGGTAGACAGAGGGAGACAGAGGGAGACAGGGGGAGACAGGGGGAGACAGAGGGAGACAGGGTGAGACAGGGGGAGACAGAGGTAGACAGAGGGAGACAGAGGGAGACAGGGGGAGACAGGGGGAGACAGAGGAAGACAGGGGGAGACAGGGGGAGACAGGGGGAGACAGGGGGAGACAGAGGGAGACAGAGGGAGACAGGGTAAGACAGGGTGAGACAGGGGGAGACAGAGGGAGACAGGGTGAGACAGGGTGTGACAGGGTGAGACAGGGTGTGACAGGGTGAGACAGAGTGACACAGGGTGAGACAGGGTGAGACAGGGTGAGACAGGGGGAGACAGGGGGAGACAGGGGGAGACAGAGGGAGACAGGGGGAGACAGGGGGAGACAGGGGGAGACAGAGGGAGACAGAGGTAGACAGGGTGAGACAGGGTGAGACAGGGTGAGACAGGGGGAGACAGGGGGAGACAGGGTGAGACAGGGTGAGACCGGGGGAGACAGGGGGAGACAGGGTGAGACAGAGGTAGACAGGGGGAGACAGGGGGAGACAGAGGTAGACAGGGTGAGACAGAGGTAGACAGAGGGAGACAGAGGGATACAGGGTGAGACAGGGTGAGACAGAGGTAGACAGGGGGAGACAGAGGTAGACAGAGAAAGACAGAGGGAGACAGGGGGAGACAGGGGGAGACAGAGGGAGACATGGTGAGACAGGGGGAGACAGAGGTAGACAGAGGGAGACAGAGGGAGACAGGGGGAGACAGGGGGAGACAGAGGGAGACAGGGGGAGACAGGGGGAGACAGAGGGAGACAGGGGGAGACAGGGGGAGACAGAGGGAGACAGGGGGAGACAGGGGTAGACAGGGGGAGACAGGGGGAGACAGGGTGAGACAGGGTGAGACAGGGGGAGACAGAGGGAGACAGGGTGAGACAGGGGGAGACAGAGGGAGACAGAGGTAGACAGGGGGAGACAGGGGGAGACAGAGGTAGACAGGGTGAGACAGGGTGAGACAGGGTGTGACAGGGTGAGACAGGGTGAGACAGGGTGAGACAGGGTGAGACAGGGTGAGACAGAGGTAGACAGAGGGAGACAGGGGGAGACAGAGGTAGACAGGGTGAGACAGAGGTAGACAGAGGGAGACAGAGGGAGACAGGGTGAGACAGAGGTAGACAGGGGGAGACAGAGGTAGACAGGGTGAGACAGGGTGAGACAGGGTGAGACAGAGGTAGACAGGGGGAGACAGAGGTAGACAGAGGGAGACAGAGGGAGACAGGGGGAGACAGGGGGAGACAGAGGGAGACAGGGTGAGACAGGGGGAGCCAGAGGGAGACAGAGGGAGACAGGGGGAGACAGAGGGAGACAGAGGGAGACAGGGGGAGACAGGGGGAGACAGAGGAAGACAGGGGGAGACAGGGGGAGACAGGGGGAGACAGGGGGAGACAGAGGGAGACAGAGGGAGACAGAGGGAGACAGAGGGAGACAGAGGGAGACAGGGGTAGACAGGGTGAGACAGGGTGAGACAGGGTGTGACAGGGTGAGACAGGGTGAGACAGGGTGAGACAGGGTGAGACAGGGTGAGACAGGGTGAGACAGGGTGTGACAGAGGTAGACAGGGTGAGACAGGGTGAGACAGGGTGAGACAGGGGGAGACAGGGGGAGACAGAGGTAGACAGAGGGAGACAGGGTCAGACAGGGGGAGACAGGGGGAGACAGGGGGAGACAGAGGGAGACAGAGGGAGACAGAGGGAGACAGAGGGAGACAGAGGAAGACAGGGGGAAACAGGGGGAGACAGGGGGAGACAGAGGGAGACAGAGGGAGACAGAGGGAGACAGAGGGAGACAGGGGTAGACAGGGGTAGACAGGGTGAGACAGAGGTAGACAGAGGGAGACAGAGGGATACAGGGTGAGACAGGGTGAGACAGAGGTAGACAGGGGGAGACAGAGGTAGACAGAGAAAGACAGAGGGAGACAGGGGGAGACAGGGGGAGACAGAGGGAGACATGGTGAGACAGGGGGAGACAGAGGTAGACAGAGGGAGACAGGGGGAGACAGGGGGAGACAGGGGGAGACAGGGGGAGACAGAGGGAGACAGAGGGAGACAGAGGGAGACAGAGGGAGACAGAGGAAGACAGGGGGAGACAGGGGGAGACAGGGGGAGACAGGGGGAGACAGAGGGAGACAGAGGGAGACAGAGGGAGACAGAGGGAGACAGGGGTAGACAGGGTGAGACAGAGGTAGACAGAGGGAGACAGAGGGATACAGGGTGAGACAGAGGGAGACAGGGGGAGACAGAGGGAGACAGAGGGAGACAGAGGGAGACAGGGGGAGACAGGGGGGGAGACAGGGGGAGACAGAGGGAGACAGTGGGAGACAGAGGGAGACAGAGGGAGACAGGGGTAGACAGGGGAGACAGAGGGAGACAGAGGGAGACAGAGGGAGACAGAGGGAGACAGAGGAAGACAGGGGGAGACAGGGGGAGACAGGGGGAGACAGGGTGAGACAGAGGTAGACAGGGGGAGACAGAGGTAGACAGAGAAAGACAGAGGGAGACAGGGGGAGACAGGGGGAGACAGAGGGAGACATGGTGAGACAGGGGGAGACAGAGGTAGACAGAGGGAGACAGAGGGAGACAGGGGGAGACAGGGGGAGACAGAGGGAGACAGGGGGAGACAGGGGGAGACAGAGGGAGACAGGGGAGACAGGGGGAGACAGGGGGAGACAGAGGTAGACAGGGTGAGACAGAGGTAGACAGAGGGAGACAGAGGGAGACAGGGTGAGACAGGGTGAGACAGGGTGAGACAGAGGTAGACAGGGGGAGACAGGGTGAGACAGGGGGAGACAGAGGTAGACAGGGGGAGACAGGGTGAGACAGGGGGAGACAGAGGTAGACAGAGGGAGACAGAGGGAGACAGGGTGAGACAGAGGTAGACAGAGGGAGACAGAGGGAGACAGGGGGAGACAGGGGGAGACAGAGGAAGACAGGGGGAGACAGGGGGAGACAGGGGGAGACAGGGGGAGACAGAGGGAGACAGAGGGAGACAGAGGGAGACAGGGGTAGACAGGGTGAGACAGAGGGAGACAGGGTGAGACAGGGGGAGACAGGGTGAGACAGAGGTAGACAGGGGGAGACAGAGGGAGACAGAGGTAGACAGGGTGAGACAGGGTGAGACAGGGTGAGACAGGGGGAGACAGGGGGAGACAG